CAAGCTGCACGCGTTCTGCAACAAGAGCCTCACGTACCTCAAGTACCGCGAGAGTCCGTGTGTCGAGGTCTTTGCCCTGGGCGCCCACGACATCTCCATGTGGCGGACCCTTGGTCACCACAACTGGACACGCGACGCGGTGCCGGCGCCGCACGAAGAGACGATGCAACATCAAGACAACGATGACGCCATCGATGAGTACACCAAGGACGGGCGAGCGTCACCGACGAGCCCACTCACGGACGACGAGGAAGAGAACGATCCGCACAGCTGCAGCGACCGCGACAACGACGACGACGAAGACGATGTTCAGGTGGAGCTCGAGCGCGTGCCGGTGGTGCCTCAAAACGCCGACTTGCAGCCGCTCCTTGACGTCATCAATGCCACCGTGGGCAAGGGTGACAAGCTCTTCACGCTGGCCGACATGATGCACTTTTGCTGCGAGCTCGAGTACCCGACCCGAGACGGGCGCGAGGAAGATGGCTGGTGCTAGGTCGTGTAATAAATCCTGTTTCTATTTTACGCGCGCTGCGTGTGCCACGTCATACGCCGCCGACGGCAATTGGCAGAAGGCGCGTGGTTTCGACCAATCACATGCGCCGTAGTCAATTCGGGAAGCTCGTTGGAACTTCGAACGGCTGCATGGACGAGGATGGTGCTGCATAGATAGGTAGGTACAAGTTCAATGTGAAAATGAAGGTACGCGTCCGATCCATCAAGCACGAGAGCACACCCGCCGTTGCAACACGAGCCGCACAACCATTTCGACCTTGATTCAGAGTTTCTGGAACGAGCCAGATCCAAAACTCTTGTGGTCGACATTTCATGGTTATATAGATTAGATAGTATTAGTACATCGATTTAGAGTGTGGTCGCAAGGTGGGAGCTCATCTCGCGGGTGCCGTTGGATGTCACTTGCGTTGGCTCGGCGCGCTGGACGACGCGATGTAGTGCCCGCCGATAAATGTTCCCGCTGTCAGCACCAAGACGCTGCCTCGACTCTGCGCGTGGTGACCAGAGTCGAGTTGCTTGTAGACCTGCTTGGTGTCGGCGGTGGCGTCAGTTGTGAGGCCGTTGACAGCGCCGCGCCAGTGGCGGGCTGCGTGGCGAACGGTCGAGTTCATGGGTGCGTGCATCGGAGGTGGTGTTGATTCAACGAGGCAAATTGGAAACTGACAATCTGGCTGTGCATCTAGATGACGTATTCGCTGTCCCATGTGACGAAGTGCATGTTCCCTGCACACGGAATAAGCTTGACACGGGTGACCAAAGTAGGTCGGCAACATAGACCCGCCGCATCTCCCGAGACTCTCATGCTATTATAGAGTTACTGCTTGTTGCGACTGGGCGCGTACCCACCGCCACGACACACGAACCTGCTTGCTTTGCACGCTACAAAGACAAGACGGCAGTTCAACGTTGCAACGCGGCCACTGCCAAGACACCGGCGTAGTCTTCGTTCATTCACACGGCCGCAGCCAATGTGCTATCGAGCTACGAGCGACAAGCGCTCTCTCGTACAACCTTCAACTAGCATCGGGCATTCGGACGTGCCGAGGCATCCATGCGTTCCTATAGTTTGCCGTGCCTCGTCGCAATGCGCGTTCGCTTTTTCTATGCGCGACGACATAGCACTGCTATATCAACGGGGCTGCGTTTCTGCGGCGGATCGAAAATCGTTTCTGGTGCGAGAATCCGACGGGAAAAAGCCCGGGCTTTCACGACCCAATAACATGGGGCCATTGTCCTGTGTTGGTGCCCAAGCCATCCCAGTGGCGGGTCGGCCTTTTCACTGGTAGACAATTGGATCGATCTCCTCTGCGCCATCATCGTGTGTCCTGGTGTGCTTCTAGATTTGGTCTTCTCGGTCAACGCGTGGAGAGCTCTTCCACGTCTTGGAAGCAGTCGCCAAGCGAAACACCAAGGAACCAACCCGACGCCGGTCTCACGATGTACCCGGCGACGGTGGGTGCACCGTTCCCGACGGCGGTAGGCTGACGGCGGTGGGATTCAACGACTTTATGTCGACTCTCACGACTCGGGAGTACGCTCCGAGAACAGTCGACTACTGAATGGCTTTCTTTCCATGAACTGTTGCATTTGCTGCAAATGTCGAAGTGGAGATGCAAATGATTTGCATCTCCGCGGTCACACGCAGCAGTAGCTCTGGCCTCGTCCAAAGATAAGGGATTGGCGATGACCTCGGCGCCGGTGATGCGCAAGGCCGTTGACTTCGTGCAGAACGACCCTCTTGGTCGGTACTGAAAACATCGCATGCACAGCACGCTGATCATAGACGACCGTGGGCAGGTGCGAGTAGGCACCCTCGGGCAACGCTACGTGCACGGTCGAGGCCACGGAGCTCTAGTCTTCGCTCTCCATCGCAGTCAGCACCTGAACTATCGGGTCTGTCTGTTTCCTCACGTCATATGCCCTCTTTAGGACACTTGTGCTGATGTCAATTCGAAGAGAGCAATGGAAATAGATCGACCTGCTGTCCTGCAGATACCCAAGGGTTGCGCTTGGTTTTTTGGCGCGTCGAGGCATCTCGAATAGCAACATTGTAATGCTTACGCGTATAATATTGTACATGGGAGCGCTACGGGGTCGACTCGCCCGGTGTCGGATTGAGAATGTCGGTCGTTTCGATCGGCGACCTTCATTCGACATTCGCGCCATGACCATGAATGCATCATTTTCCAACTGGCTTTGTCCACGACAATGGGCTCTGTTTTCCGCCACGCCGCTCGCCAGTGGCGCCGCACGGTCCACGCCAATGGCCGCCGCCTTACGACGGACGCCACGGCCGACGCCAAGAAACTCTACGGCCGCAAGCAGCATTGCCAGCACTACTCCCGGCACCACGGCGGCGGCGCCATCTTTGCGATCGCTACATTTGCTGGCGGGTACTATATCGGATCGTCGTCGATCGACTCGGGTCGTCGCGACTGGCAACAGGAGCTGCGCGACGACAACCACGAGCTGAAGCGGCGACTTGACGACCTCCAGCGCCTTGCAATGCGTTCCAACGCTACTGCGATGGCCGCGACGACCGCGGCTGGCCCGTAGCTATACCTACACTTTCCGAACGACAATTGGAATAATCATTGCGTGTCTGATCCTGACGAGAACCTATAATTTCTCTTGTCCCGTGAGTATGCAGCACCCCCATTTGATGCAAAGGCGCTGCACGGTCGGACGTTCTATGACATTATGGTTGATACGACGAGGCGATTACACGAAAAGACGCAACTAGCGTTTCTTGGAAAGCCAGTTGATGCCGACGCCGAGGCCCACGACGCAGACGCCAAGCGCGACCGCCATCCACTGCGCCGAGCCTGTGTCCTTCTTGAACCGCTTGGGTTTGGTGAGCGATCGGTCCTTGGCGACGACGACAACAGCCGGTGCATCAAGGTCCAGCTTCTCGAGCGGCGCAGGTTCGTCGTTGGCGTCGTCAATGGGGTCCATGGGGGCCAACACTGGCGACGGGGGCGGTAGCTACACTCGGATATGATGCCATGGATATCGTACCAAAGACGTACGAGGGCCGATACGCGCTGCAGCACGACAGGGTGGTACGGCTCGCCTCTCGTCTTGGCTTCCTTGCAGCCTTCCCAGACGTCCATGAGCACATTCATGCCATAGTAGTTTTGGATCTACAACCGAGATAGGTGAGCTCAAGAAAGGAAGAAAATAGTTTTCTACCTCGGCCAGGACGTCGCAGATGGTGTAGACGTTGACAAGGCTTTCCACAAACGCCACCAGCCGCGGCAATGTCGTCGGGTCGTCGATCTTCCACGCGCGGTGCCGAATGTGCAAGCGTGTCCTACCATCAACCATGCAACTAACTCCCTTCACCATGCGTCGGTAATACCACAGCGCATGCCACTGCGGCTGCGAGGCAAAGTCGTCCTGGGACCTGCAAGGTAGAATACGTCGAGTGCTGCAATGCAGCTGCAGGGTACATACCACTCGTTCACTGCGGTAAAGTCGCACGACCCTTTGAGAAAGAGGCTTTCAAGCACGAGTCGTTTTTGTCCGTCCGAGAGCTCGTCGTACGCGACTTGGCTTAGCTCCATCGTCAGCACTGGGTCCACGGGCTGGCCGAGCCACTGGGCAATGTCACTCGGCGATGGGAGGTCGACTAGACGCGTCGTTTGGTGTGAGATGCTCGAAGATTATCCTGTCGTACCGAGAGCATGGTACCAGTGCTCCCACTCGATCGACAGCGGAATGTCTTCGACCAAGGTAAAGTACTCTTCGCAATACATCTTGAACTCTTCGCTCGTGACACTGCCGGCCTCGAACCCTAGTATGTCCACATGTCAGATTCGTGTCTGGTTCGAAGTTGTCGTACCAGAAATGTAGGCCGAGACAAAAAAGTCAAACGTGTCCTTCCCGACCATGGCTTGCAGCGCCAAGAGGCAGAGGTAGCCCTTCTCCCGGGCAATGACGCTGAACCGATCCATCGAGTGGTGGTCCATGCGCTAGAAATCCACATCCAGATCCACCCGCAGAGAAATGACATACCAGACGCGTGTTGGCAGGCGACTCAGTGTCGAATGCATGGCAGAGCTGGTTGTAGCCCGACCAGACAAGCTCTGTCGTCTCGACCTCGCTTCCGTCCAGCTGCTTGAGGAGTTCGAGCCACAGGTACTTTGCCCAGCCTTCGCTCAGCCTACAACCGTCGTCACAATCTAAAAATCGGATTCTCCCATCGCACCAGACGTCGTGCCACGTTTCGTGTGGCGCAAGGAACGACAACCAGTGCCGGGCGACGCTTTCGACAAGAAGCGATCGCGCTACACGCGAGCATGAGCGTCGGTGGACCAGATATGCGACAGCGTACTCAGACACGTTTGGGTCGTCACAACCAGACACGGGTAGAGCGCGGTCTGGAAGCAGAATTCGGCGGGCACGATCACAATGTTGAGTTCCGACCAGACAAACTCATGGCCCGTGAGCGCCTCCGCGAGCTACGTCACGTGATACGACCGAGACAAGCCACGCTCGTTGATCGCACCTCGAGGTGCAGCGGCAGCTGCGACACAGCGTCGAACGTCGCTTCGATTTCAATGTCTTCGGTCGCAAAAAGTGTTGACATTTGCGGCGCAAGCGAGAACCTGCGCGATCCCATGAGCCTTCGAGAGACAAAGAGGATGCGGATACAGCTCCATGGGCGCGACGACGAGCGCGAGCGCATGCGATGGCACGGGCACGGTCTGCCGGTAGGTCCACGTCTGCATCCCATTTTCGGCCGGCGTCGGCGCGGCGCCTAGAATCCCATGGCATACGAGACGTGAAGACGAAGAAAGAAGCAGCTCGGACCTCGCGTCGGCGCACTCACAACGGCAATCGTCGAGGTCAAGGTCGTGATCTCGGCCGTGTACGGGTACTTCATGCAGAGCGCGGCAGGGATCGGGAGCAGCGCCGAGGCGTACGACGGGTACGACTGCGTGACGAGCCATGTGCCGCCGTCGCTGCTCTGGGTGTCGTCGAGCCAGTGGCA